ATTTGGTATTTTTGTCAAATACTGAAATTACTGATTCAAATACTTGAATTCAAATTTTTATTCATTCAAATATTTAAATTAAATAAAAATTATTTGTTTCAAATAAATATTTCTTTGAATACTATTGTCAAATAATTTTAATTTTTTGCTGTACAAAAAAATTGTTGTTTAATTTCAATTTTTCTTTTAAATCTAATTTAACTTCGCTTCGTGTAATATAATTATTTTAATTGTGTGAATAATTTTGAAAATGAATTTTTTCAAGCACTGACAACGACAGTCGTTGAAACTTTCACTGTAATGAGCGGTTCTTCTTCTGAATGTATGCTTTACAAAAAGCCAATTATTTTAAGAGTACGTACGAAAAAAAACATCTTGTTTTCACTAATCAATAGAAGAATTTTGCATCCTTATAATTTGATACGTTAAAAACAATAATTAACAAGAAACAAAAAATCCTGATTACAATTTTTATTATAACTATAATTAATTTTAATTTTGAAATTCATTTATTATTTAAACTAAAAAAAATACATAAACAATAAGTTATCACAAAAAAAAAATTCAAGTTATAAACTGTCTTTTATTACCGAGAAGTTAAAATAATAAAAAGAAAAAAGTAATTCTTTTGCACAAATATCAACCACATGCTTATTTATTCTATTGTCGAAGAATTCCTCACAGTACAAACAAACTATTTTTACATCAAGTCTATAAATGCATAAAAATCCTTAATATCCAGAAAAACATAACTATGCATACGGAAAGAAAACACGAAACGACAAAAGGTATATTTTTTTACCAGCATTCAAATATTATGAGCAAAAACACTCTTAGCAAAACAGAGAAGAATTTCCCTCGTATAATTTAAAACTCTCCTAATCCAATTTACCTCTGGATCGTTTCGTCCAATAAAAAATTCAAGTCTTCTAACAATAGATCAGAAAAAAAAACCATGTAGTAAATTCACTGTTTCCTTTTTCTCATCAAAAACTACATAACTAAATCATCCTAACAACCGCATCATTAAATCACAAATTTTTAGAAATATTATATCATAAATTTTTTTTATATTAATATTTTTTTTCTAAAAATAACCAAAATTAATAATAAAAAAATACTTTCTCATTTTTTATACGAGAATGTAAAAAAAGAAAAATATACAATAGAAATGAAAAAAATAGATGTCATTAGAAAACAAGAACTACATTCTTTTATGACAAAAGCTTCAAAAAGAAGCTTTTACGAAAAAAAACGTATATTTTTTATCGTAGCCCAGAATGGAAAAAAAATGATTGAAACGCTTTAAGGCATTGTGAACAAACAAAAAGAGAAGTTAAACTCTTTTTTATCATAGTCAGAAATGAATAAATCGAAAAAAGAAAGAATGGTAATTTTTTTTTGCAGATTGATCATCTATTTCAGATTATCAAAAATAATGCCAAAATAAAAAAGTTTCTTTTTATAAAAGCAAGCATATTAATTATTTTCGGGAATTCAATTATCTTAAAAAAAAATTTTTAATTACAACTTTTCAAAAACCTAATATTTTTAGAATTTCTACATTTAATTATTCAAAACTTCAATAACTTTTGTAAAACAAATATTTAAAAACTTATTGTTATTTATTTTAATTGAAATCTCGAATAATTTCAATGTAAAACCTTTTGATATTTAATTGTTTAAATACAAAACTTTTTGTATAATTATTTTCCATATTTTTATAATTTGAAAAAATATATACATTTCTTTAAAAAATACAATATTTTAAAAATAATTTTTCAAAGTAAAACAAAGTAAAAAATATCCTAACTTCACGTGAAGACAGAATATCTCAATTATTATTATTATAATTAAAAACCAATAAAAATTCCCCAAAATAAACATCACAAACTTTTCAAAAAAAATGGTTTTTTCAAAAAAAACCATAAATACCAAAAATGTCGAAAAACACCCAGCAACGAAATTTGATCAAGAAAAGTGCAAAAAGAAGAAAAATCACGATACATCAAAAACCCTTATTTAACAATTCAACTGTTTCCTTGGAAATTTTCCAAAAGTGCAAATTATGTTGAAAATACATTCAGAAAATAATGTAAATATTTGAATTTACATCGAACGGCTAAATGAGAATTTTCAGCATTGCATTTCTGAAAAAAAGAGGAAAAATGCATAATCATTGAAAACATTTCTGATTTATTATCACTGCATTCTCTGCTATTCAAGCGCAAAAAAAGAAAACAATTTCTCATTATACTGAAATAAGAAGCACTTCTAATCCACTCGAAAATTTTATCCAAAAAACAACTGTTATAATAAAAATATAAAAAAAAATATAAGAGCAAAAATTGTTATAAAACATTTCGATATTAAAAAAAAACGATCTAAACAAAACTTAATTCAAGTTTCCATAAAAATAAAAATTTCCCCACATCTCTATATATTTTTTCCATTTTTATCGAATTTTTATACTTAAATTTTTTTAATTAAAGCCCATTTCCCGTGTGCTAGATATAAAATATTATAACGAAAAGAATTCATATCTGCGTAAAGTTAAAATCAATGTTCTCGTTTCATCAATTTCATAGGAGAATTATACTTTAAAGCATATAATATAATATATTATGGATGAAAGAATATTCTTTGAATGAAAGAAGAATATGTTAATAAATCGTTATAATTTTTCCAACATGCGGAAAAAGAAGGGGAGGAACTATCATTCGTAACTGAATAAATGTCATTTAATGTGATTCAAAACTTGATGCAATATGCATTACTCTAACTTTCTGCCGAATTGAATTGAATTTCATTAATCTTATTAAATATCATTAGTGTGTGCTTTCCAGTCATCCCAGAAATAACACCATGAAATGATTAAAAGAGAAATCTAATTTATTATACCCACGGAACATCAGCAGAAATAGTATATTAAAGGTATTTTCTTTCATAAAATTATTTTACACTCGATTTTAACGAATTCTTTTGTTCTCCTAATTTTAATCCTTCAAACATCAAAACCAAAAAAGTTAATTTACTTTTAAAATTACACTCGGTGTCTTAATTTATTCTCCTTTCTTCTCGCCTTTAGAATTTAAATTTTTTCATTATATTTTTTTCATTTGTTTACTAATTTAATAATGAAAAGTAATTTATTTTCTAAAATTTAATTTTTATAATTAATTTTAATTTAACCTTAATCAAATTTATAATCAACAAATTTAATAATTTGCTACTACTAATTAGAACAAGAATTATATTCAGCCTAAAACTTAGACCTAGACTTAGGTTTTTTCACCTAGAAAAAAATTTTTGTTGATTTCAAGAAGTCATTTGCTTTGACTTGTTTCTTCGATTGAAAATTAATTTTTCTTTAATTCAAAGAAAATTTCTTTGATTTAAAAACAATTTATTTGATTCTTGAAAAAAAGAAAATTTCTTTTAAATAAAAATTGTTATTGAATTAAAAAAATAATTTTTTTTTTATTTAAATTAATTTATCTCTGTTTCAACAAAAATTTTTTGACCGAAAAACAATTTATTTGATTCAAAAACAAATTATTAAATTCAAAAACAAAATTTTTTATTTAAAAACAATTTCTCTGATTCAAAAACAATTCATTAGATTCTTGAAATTAAAAAAGAAAATTTCTTTACAGCAAATATTGTTCTTGATTTAAATTTATTTGTCCTTGATTCAACAAAATTTGTTTGGCTTCAAAAACAATATATTTGATTCAGAAACGAATTTTTTTTATTAAAAAACAATTTATTTGATTCTTGAATTTAAGAAAGAAAATGTTTTTAAAACAAAAAATTTTTTTGAATCATATAAATTGTTTTTGATTTAAGTTAATTTATTTTTTATTTAAAAACAATTTATTTGATTAAAAACAATTGTTTTAGAGAACAAATTTCTAGAATTCAATGGAAATTTGTTAAAATTACCGAAACTTTTTTTTAATCAAAAACCGTCGTTTTCTTTAAAACGAAAATCTATTTCGAGTGAAACAAAATGAGTCTAAGAAACTAATTTTTTTAATTAACAAAAACTTTGTTACGAGTGTAGACTAAAAATTAGTCACTTCGAATCCACAAAATTTCTTACACTAAAAAATAATCAATTCCAATTCACAAAATTTCTTAGACGAAAAATTAGTCAATTCTAATTCTCATGAACGAACCTGCTATTGAATTCTATTCAAACTTAATTAAAATTTAAAAAGTAGATTTTCGATTACTTTGCTCAAGCTGATACGAAAAAATATTCTCTCAAACTCATCTGCACTTTCTCCTAAGTAAAAAAAATTATTTGATTACCAAAAAGTAATTCCAGCATAAAATCAAACTTTCTCCCTACATTTCTTAAATTTTCTCCCAAGTTTCTCCAAATTTGACACAATTTTTTTTTAAACAAAATTTAAGAAAATTAACATAACAAAAATACTAATATTTGAAACCTAGTCGAAAAAAATTTCCAAGACCAACAAAGAATAGAAAAAGAAAAAGGATTCACCACAATTTTTTTTTAAACAAAATTTAAGAAAATCAGGGTTGCCACAAAAATTTAACTTTATTTTCCCTGACTTTTCCCTGATTTCCAGACATAATTTTGACATTTTCCCTGATCCTAAAGAATATTCTGATTCACTCTAAAAATGATTAGATAATTAGAAATTAACTAAATAAAAATCTTAATATTTGAAACCTAGTCGAAAAAAAATTCCAAGACCAACAAAGAATAGAAAAAGAAAAAGGACTCACTCCAATTTTTTTTCTAAACAAAATTTAACAAAATGAACTAAACAAAAAGATTAATATTTGAAACATAGTCGAAAGAAATTTCCAAGACCAACAAAGAATAGAAAAAGAAAAAGAATTCACCCCATTCTTTTTAAAAACAAAATTTAACAAAATTAGTTAAACAAAAATATTAATATTTGAAACCTAGTCGAAAAAAATTTCGAAGACCAAGAAAGAATAGAAAATAAAAAAGGACTCACCCCAACGTGGTCATTGTGACAATCGTGTACCAAAACGCAGCCGGTATAGATGTGAAATTTGTCCCTTCAACGTTCTTTTCCGCATAGAACATGACGGTGGCAAATATAATAATAGCCATTGCAAGAGAAAAAACGAGAAATCCAAGTTCAGAGGCGCACGATTTTAACGTATAACCCAGAATCCTAAGACCCTGCGAATGTCGCGAGAACTTGAAAATTCGAAACACACGAAATACTCTCAATGTGACAAATGCCCCCGAAACATCATCATTGTCCGTAATACCCAATCCAATGTAATACGGTAATATCGCAACAACATCAATAATCGACATCACCGATCTTGCAAATTTACATCTACTAGGTGCCGCAAACAACCTCAATAAATATTCAGCCGTAAATATCATAACACAGGCAGTGTCCAAGCAGAAAAATACAATCTTATATCTCTCCCCACATGACAGGGTACCAGCACGACCAGGTCGATTACCACAGGGCACTGTTTCAACAACATTCGCCAATACACTGACAGCAATGAAAAATCCCGTCACGTAATAAAATACCAATGCCGCCGTTGATATATGCGGATTTTGAAATGCTCTCCACATTTTTTCCCGATTATCCGTGAGTTGTTGTAAAGTTTGATCGCCATTCTCGCTAAGTTTATCATCCATAAGACGTTCGGCATTCTCACGTTTACGATCTCTATAATCCTCATAGCAACAATCGCCAATAACATCCGGTAAAATACCAAAGAATGCAAGCTCCTCATCATAACTTGTCAGGCACTCGTGCTTTGGATAATGTAATTTACCAGTTCGATAATAATTCAATATATGTCGAAATATATCTGGATCACGATCAAAGAAATACTCCTTACTCTCCTCATCATAGAAAAATTCTCTTTCATTCGATCCAAGTAATGTGTCGGGATATTTTTCCAATGTATTACGCCATGTTTCAAATCGACGACCACTCACGTTGATAAGTAATTTTTCATCGTCGGCCTTGCGACGATCTTTTGATATCGGCGGCGGTGGTAGGGGATGAGTGGCAATCGGCACCCATCCAATGGCAGCCGCTCTAGCAAATGGTAACCATGCCGCAACCGAGGCCATCTTTCCTTCTCCTCTTCTTCTAAATCACTCTTTTCAAATTCAATTCAATTTGAGATCAAAACAGATCATAAAATTCGGCATTATTCAAGAATAAATGTTCTATTTCGGAAGACGACACACGCACTTTTCTTTTTTTTTTATTTCCGAAAATAAATAATTATTTAGACTAATTAAAACGAGTTAATATTAACTATAACTTCCAGTGGCGTGTACAAGAGTTGTCAACGACGCCGGCGGCGACGACGTCGACGACGATGACGACGACGACCACGCCGACAACGTTGATCTATGACCCCCTGCTCTAGAGAGGTCTCGTGTCGATGCCCCCAAGATCATAGTTCGGCATCCCTCTAATTCTCAACAGGAGGAAAGAGGAGGAGTAGTTTGTTCACAATAATCCTGACCCTACAACATTGATACTTCGCAGTCGAAACGACCGCACACGCGGCAGCAGCACTAGCCAACAACGTCTTGGCACCTTGCCTTTCACCATTATCGATAATACACACTTTTTTTTCTCTATATATTCTATAACATTCGCCCTTCTATTTCAAAATTCACTCCTCCAATAATTATTACCATCAGTCACAGTGCCGAGAATTCACACCTCAAATTCCAACCAACTCCATAACATCCAAAACCTTGCAAAACTCTATTGGCCTTCATTTCTTGAATTCCCAAACGTTCTTGAATTCTCAACGTTCTCCAAATTCTCAATAACAGTTCCAATTCGGCATTATTTTCCTCTCAGTTCTACACTTCCTCTCCAACATGTGGAATACCGGCTTGTCTAAATTCCTGAAACACCTTTAAATTCAAAATTCCTTTTCCTTCAAATTTGAACAGATGGTAAATAAATTATCGAAGACTTTTGATAAAAAGGGAGAAGTAACAAAAATTGGTTCCTTTTTTTTTAAACGCGATTTTCATGAGGAGCCGCTCTCGAGTGCAAAGTGTGTGTGTGTATTTTTGAAATAAAAGCGCGAGTCACCCTGCTCGATGAGTTGGTCACTCACAACTGCCAGAGCTTGCGAGGCTTTTAGGAGAGCCCGGCTCCAGAAAAGCGTGCTCGCTCGCTCGCTACGAGGCGACGCAAGCAACGCCACGCAAACGTACCTACCTACCTAGCCAAAGTCCAAATTGATTTTTACGGGACGACGTCGGTGGCGACGCTCATCGTCCCAACCGAGTAACGTTACGTTGCCCGGGCAACACTCAACAATGACGTCATAGCACTCTTCCCTCTCCACTTTTCGACATCATCCTCTTCCTCCTCCTACTTCTTCTTCTTCTTCCCGATGAACAAATTTCTCTCTCTCTCTCTCTCTCTCTCTTTCTCGTTCACCAAGAACCGCGGAAAACTTTTCTCACATCCACCCCCTGTCCGCGGCTATTGTCTCTAGTAGCACTACTGCTCTCCATCTCTTTCTAGGTTACCAGTTACCAGGGACGTCCTTAGATAGTTCTACCCTTCAGGCAACAACTAGTTATTTGACATCCCTCTCTCTCTCTCTTTTGACGAAAAAAAATATCGCGAAAAATTATTTATAAACGCACCCCGAGCCCTTTTCTACAAACAGATTCTTCTCTTTTTTATCCTCTACTTGAAAAAATAGGTCTTGTGAAAGCATTCTGAAGAGAAAGAAATAAGCGCAAAAGAAAAGGAATTTTGTAAAAAATGAATTTTTAGAAAAAATATATGCAAACGGTTAATAATTTAGGAAAAGAAAAAAGTTAAATTTAATTTCTTGAATAATATGGATTCGCTCTCAAGGATTTGTATTGAAGAAAACTAAATTTACACCACGCATTGGGAAAAATTAATTCCTAAGCTACTGATTACGAGAGAAAGTAACTATTTATGTACTATTAAGATTAACCAGCAGAAATTATGGTTACTTAAAAAAATTCCTTACAATTAATCCTGATGTTATTTTCAAATTTCTATCCGAATCCTAATTTGATTATACTAATTAGAAATCCTCAACTAAAATATTTGAAACTTTCTTTATTAGGAAGAAACTAATAACTATAGATTAACCGCAACAGAAATCGTGGTTAACTAAACAAATTCCTTACAAAAATAATTAATCCTGATTCTATTTTCCAATTTCTATCCGAATCCTAATTCGACCAATTTTTATACTAATTGGAAATCCTCTAAAAAATTTAAAACTTTCTTTACTCTTTCAATTTCAATTTTCTTTCCCTTTTTAATTTTTCGATTCATTTACCTAAATTCATTTTTCGATCACTGGTAACTAGAAAGTATCAAATTTCGAAATTTTCTAATTTACAAATTGTAAAACTATTAAATTGAAAAATTTGAAAAAATCCATTTTGGAATTTTTATAATTTACAAATTGCAAAAATTATCAAATTGAAAAATTTGCTAACTTACAAATTGTAACGAATTGATACCAAAAATATGGATCAAATAATCTTTTGAAAAAAAAGAATAGAAATATTTTAGAAACTTAATTTTATAGAATTTTTAAATAAATTTTTTCATGATTCTAAAATTCTAAACGTTTAAATAAACATTTATGTATTTAAATATTTTTTGTTAAAAAGATTTTCTCAAATTGCTGATTGCAATAAAAATTTTAAACATAAAATTTTACTTTTAGAAAATAAATAATTAAATTTTTCGATGGTGACAAAAATTATTGCAATACAATAATTTTAAATTATTGTATTATACCAAAAATTATTGAAATACAATAATTTTTTGTGACTATATCAAAAAACTTAATTATGTAGTTTCTAAATGTAAAATTTATGTTATAATTTTTATTGCAATCAACAATTTGCGAAATTATTTTTAATAAAAAATATTTCGTTCATTTGATTGTTCAAAACTTGTAGATATAACAATTTTTCGAAATTTTAATATTCGATTTAATATAATAAAAATTTTAATTATAACTCTTTGAAAATTAAATTATTTTAGATGCATTTTAGACCCTTTGATAATCTTTGTAAAATTTAATTAATATTTACCAATTATTAAATTAAAATTCTTCGAAAATTCGATTTTATTAAATCTCTTTAATGAAATTCTTTAACCTATTTAATTATTTTCAGTTTAATTTCACGAAAATTTCTAATAATTCGATAATTCTTTAATATAATTTTATTTTTTAAATTAAAGTACCTTTAAAAAAATAGAATTAAAATTCCTGAGAAAAACAAATTTTTCCAGAATTTGAAATAAAATTATTTAATAGGTACTAAAATAATTTTTAAAATAAATATTTAATGTTTTCAATGTTTTTAATGTTAAAAAAAATTCTAGGAGAAAAACTTTATAAGTTTTTCGAGAATGCGTTTTTTAAAGACCAAAAAAACGAAATTTCTGTAGTAATTCCAGAAATTTGATAATTATTTTTCCCAAACTTTTGATAAAAATATATAAAATATCATTTATAATTCTATAAATTATAACTGATTGAAAAACAAAATTTTTATACCAATAAAAAATTGTATCACTCACATTGAAATTAATTCCAGAATTTTTTTTTCCCGAAGAGGCCCAAATTCAATAACTCGCTTCCTTCCTTCTTTCTTTCCTTCCGGGACAAAAAAACTCGTCTTCTTCTCAATTTCACCTTGAAAAAATAATTAAAATCTAAAGTATTTAAATATCGTAAAAAGTACCATTATACCAGTCACAGAAAATATATGCGTTTCGCAGAAAGTCTCTTTCACTAGCACTCATGAACTATGACTAATATAATGAAAGTAAACGCCGAATTTTAATAAATGTAAAAATCCATTTACTAAAATTTAACGTTCCTTTTTTTCACAAACAAAAACTTTTTCACACTAGTAATGAGAGAGTAAAAGTAGAAATTCTACTTTCTCCGTATAAAATGGAATAACATTTGCAATAAATATGCAATAAGCAAAACATGCAAATAAACAATAAGCAAAATATGCAAATGTGCAATAAGCAAAATATGCAACAAGCAAAGAATGTAAATATAGGATAATCATAATATGCAAATAGGGGGAAATCATTATGCAAAAATTGCAATAAAAATAGTATGTGGATATGGGATAAACATAATATGCAAATATGGGACAAAAATAAAATGCAAATTTGCAAAAAGCATAAAATATGCAAAAATGGGAGAAAAATAATATTATGCAAATATGCAAATAAGGGAGAAAAATAATATGCAATTAATATAAAAGGCAAATATGCAATAAAAATATTACATAAAGCCGATTATATAAATATTAATTCAAAATAAAAAATATTGGCAATGTCAAAAGTAGAAAAATGCACAAAGCATTTAGAATTCATAAAATGTAAAATTGAATTTAAAACAACATAGTGACAAAATAAAAAATATAATATAATATAATAAATATAAAATTAACAAAAACTTTATAACTGGTACTCCAGTTATTGTGTCACACATTTAAAAAAAAACGCCGATTTCCCTACCTAAGAAATATAAAAGCCACGAAAAAAAATTATCTCAATCATACAAAAAAAAGCTAATCCTTCCTAACCCGATCTAATTAAATGCAAACTTAATTTTAATTTACAGAAACACTCCACGGTCCTCTCACATACCGCCCCGGTGCAAAAAAACCTACTCTAGGGATAAAGGGGCACGTTAGGCTCACCCATACGTCCCGGGACGCATCCGTCACCTGAGCTCAAAAATTGCCTGAAAATAAACATCACAATTGAGAATTTGAATTTTATAAGAGGAAATATAATAATAGAAAATAAAATTGGATAAAATAAAAATAAAATACGATATTTTATAACGTAATGATTAATCAATTATCGTTAATGATTAATTTTAATCGTTAAATTTGAAAAGTTTAATTTTCAATAAGACACGTTATAATTCGTTTATAAAATCCCTCTTATAAAATTCAGTCCCATAATTAATACATTTAGTGAATTTACCAAAAAACTTTAATTTTACTTTTAACTTTCAAATTCCGCATGCATTAACTTTTTAATTTTATTTTTAAAAATTTACTATTAAAAAGCAAGGAAAATTTATCAATTTTTCAAAATTATTCTAACTTTCAAAAAATATCAAACTTCAATTACTTCAAATTATTTCAACTGAAGAAAAAAAAAAAGTTACTTTAAATATAAAAAAGAAAACAGTTACTTCAAATTTAAAAGAAGAAAAAAATTAATTCAAATTTAAAAATTTACAAAACACGAAACAATTTTTATGTAAGATACATGCAAATGTTGTAAACAATAAACATTGACAAAAATTTTAATTTACGTTATAGTAATAAAAAAAATATTACTAAGACTATAAATAATTAATTTTTGTCAATGGTGTCACTATGTTGTTTGATTTCCTTCCCTGTCTGAATTTTTTCTAAATACAAAATTACGATAAGATAAACTAATTAATTAGATTTACTAATTAATTAGATTAACTAAACTAATTAAATTATTAAATTAAAATAATTAAGTACACTGAAAAAAAAATTGTTTCAAATAACCAATTACTTGTTTATTTTATCTAATAAATATTTAATCGAATCAAATAATTTTTATTTAAATCAATTAAATTGTATATTTGCTTCAAATACTGAAATTATTCGTTCAAATACCATTTATTTGATTACAATACTTTAGTTTCAATAAAAATTCTTTGATTCAATGAAATATTTATTTGATAATAGACAAGTACTTCCAGAGAAAAATTTTATTTAAACCAAATATAATTTATTTGAATGTGAAAGAAATTAACAATCAATAATTTATTAAGTTGATAATTTATTGAAGTTAAATAAAAGTATATTTGTCTCAGAGAAAACTAGATTGTTTATTTGTTTTAAATAAAAAAAATTTTTCGACATAAATAAAACTTTTCTTTGAACCAAATAAAATTTTATTTACACCAAATAAAATTTATTTGAAACAAATAAAAAGTCTAGGCACCTTTGAAACAAATATCTTTTTTCTGTTTGTAATCGGTTAATTTAGTTATATACTAAATTATTTTCAGAGTATTAAATAATTTAATAATTTAATCAAAATACAAATTATTTAAAAAGAATCTTCCAAGCTTCATTGGGAAATTATTAAAAGGTAGTCCATATATTACGTCACACTTTACGGGGCTGGGATATAGGGTCAAAGCCATCGATAATAACTTGTGAAAAAAAAAATCGCGCAAAAT